AAAGAGAGGGAGCGAGAGTGAGCGAAGGGAGAACGCTTGGCAGGTATCCACGGGCAGTATATCACGTGGCAAGGATAAGTTTTTGATCGGGCCTTGCTATACGGATGACTCCCTGCTGGTTGACCTCATCACGCTACGCTATGGGGGTCTTTATAAACCACCATCGACTGCGCGTATCCTAATCACCTTTTGTCTTAAGCCTGCCAAACTCTTTCTTCGAGAGAGGGAGATTGGCGCGCTGACCCCTCTGTCGAAGGAACCAAATATTCGTCATCGCCACGATGTACACAAAATACCCTTCTTGGCGCACGAAAGTGCGAAATTACATTCTTAGGCAGTGATTACGAGCGAATGCGTATATAATGAGTGACCTTTTTATTTTTATATTATACGAAAGAGACAGGAATATTTATAAGCTCAAAATTATTGGTTTTTTAACACACGTTTACATCAAACATACGTTCATAAGAATCTTTCAAATCATACAATTATTGAAAAATATTATGCGATAATACATAAAATTTCACATTAATTATCCAGTCTTATCTTTTAAAGTAAATTTATTTATGCTTAATTTATTCTAATAGTACACGAAAAAAAAAAATTAGCTGCCGTAGCTAAAAACTGCGTGTGGTAACTAGATACCTATTTATTAGGTGCAACAGCAAACATCTTAGCTGTGACACCTATTTATTAAGTGCAACAGCAAACCGTTTTGCTGTAGTTTAGAAATTTATTTTGCAAACCATGATTAGCAATGGTAGCGAAAATTTTTTTTCCGTGTACGCATTCCCGATTCTGGATCTCCGGTATTTTCTGTAAAATATTTTTAACTACTCATTTCTTTTTGTTTCCGAAGCGCAACTTTATTGAGCTGAATCGATAAAGCGTGAATGCCTCGTTTCAATGGGAATAAATCCATCTTCCGTCAGAATCTTTTAAAGCACAGTTAGATAATAAATATGAAGGATGTTGCCGGAGAATAGTTGTCACTAGTTGAATTGAGCAGAGACAACAGAGGCGCAACAGTTAAACAGGTAATTCTCAGTTGAATGCCTTCCACTTCGTCGTTAGTAATATGTTGGACGAATGAATGGACGTCATATCTTTTATCGCTTTTAAAAGACGTTACTTGCCACTGACATTTTGTTGTATTGTGTGGGAAGCAGATCTTTTATTAATTTTTTGAATTTTTTTTAAATATACTATAATATAATATTGTAGAAATTATTGTCATCGATATTTAGCAGACATCAAGCAAATTGCATATTTTAATTTAGTAAGATAAATCTTTTTAACGAGACAAAATTATTATTAAGTGCAATATTTAATAGTTAAAATTCATATCTCATACTCGACGCAAAATGTGTTTGTTTGATTTGAATTTCCTTTTTTTATTATGAAAAAGACAGCCTTTATATAGCATAATGTTGAGCAACTGCGTTGAGGTTTCAGATTTTTACGTTGTTGCCCTCACAATAGAGAACAATAGAAACTTTTAACCCCATAGGAAATTAGTCTCGAATATTGCCAAGGGCAATAAGAAGTTTGTCGATCGTTCAATCGGGGCAGTAGCGTTGAATAATATGTTTTAAAAAAATTTGATCAAAAATATTTTGCTGAGAAATTAAGGATTAACATAAATTAATGATATGATTATAAACAAGAAGTCACATTATTTAAATTAATTAAATATCAAAAATAATTGGAGAATGCGACTTTTGTTTTTATGAAAAAAATGTAACGAAAGTAACAACCATAATACTCTTTGTCATTTCGAGGATATAATATATTTATCGAAATTACTTTATTATTTATCAACGAAGTAACAATTTTTTAATTTTATTCTGCAACAATTATAATTGTCGAGCTAGTCAAGAGCCATCGTTGCTGATTCAATTTGTTTGCGATACGTTTCTTTTTTTCAGCTGTTATCAATGCGATCATAAGTCCTTCTAGGTTATAATCAATTAATAATTTATTAGTTATCACTATCACAATTGTCGCAAAAAGTTCGCGCAGATGGATCAAGTTATTGGTTACTCACCCTGCTGGATACGCGGTAGTATAATCGAGGAAATAATTTGGATCGGCAAGGACGTGCTTGCCTGGTGCACCGGTTTGTACATCGTGTTTTTTCACATCGTCAAGAGACAGCAAACGTTGCGTTGGTGCTGGAACAATGCGACCGGCGACGGTGCTCGTTGCATATCCAGTCACGTGTCCTCGCCAATTTTTGCCTTCTCCGAGAGATCGCTGAATCCGCGAATCTTCGTCCTCGCATATCCCTCGATGGCGAAGATCTGCGAGTGCGTTCAAGGATGCAAAAGCGGTTACTTGGCGATCGCGTTCACGTCCCGCGATCATCTCGTGTCGTTGGGCTCTTACCCGAATTTCCCGATGATCGTATGGTGTTGGAGAACGGGTGAGAAGATCGCGATCGTGGATACGCCTATACGCGATGAAGTCGGTCAGATAATCAGAATAACTCAGATAGGACGCACTGTCATTGGTCAAATGGGAAAGACCTGCGGAAGACTGCTCACCTGGGAACTCGATGTTATCGGCAAGACTATCATCCTGAAAGGCATGTGATTTTATTTCCAGAATAATTTTAATTCTTTCAAGTATAACGATACTATATATCTCAGTTGAAGATCTTAAAATATGCATATATTTCTTTGCAAAGATCACGAAATAAAACTACCACAGGAAGCTATGATCTTCGATATCAGTTGGTGTCCCACGTCGAATCAGCCTTTATTGGCCATCACTGATAAAGATGGTCACGTATATTTGAGCGATTACGACGGCACTAATATTCATCGCATAGTTGTTTCGCAACGCTGCGGAATCTGCGTGGATATCGAGATGCCGGCCGTGTGCTGGTTTCGCGAAGGGATTATTCTCAGGACCACTTTCTGTCAAATTCGTTATTTTAAAAAGGAGCCGAAGACTAACGCTTGGCGCAAGCAGTGGTACGTCAAGTCAATCTACAAGCCGCATATATTGGTCGCGCATTCCTTCAGAAATGATTGGTTCTTCTACTACACTCTCGAGGGATACCTAATGCAGATCATCTTCCCTGAAGACACAGGCACCATACCAACAATCTATAGATACTTGCACTATGGCGGTAAATATCAGTTCGTCGATTTCCTGTACCCTTGGTGTCATCATCTCGCGGTGACAGACGAACTCAAGGAGTTGACCATCCTCGAATGCTATAGCGGCAGTGAAGTCTCGAAAGTAGAGCTCGATATGGAAGGCGTTATATCTGCTCAGACGTCACATCCGGACGATCCATTGATCGCCGTTGTCAGCGATCAAGGTGAGATGACGATTGTGGGTGTCGCTAATCCGGAACAACCAACGATACTGACATATTTTCGTCTTCAGAGAAAATTCTTGGATCTCATAAAATTTTCTCCCTCCGGCAAGTAAGCTTAAAATAATTCGTACCAATTTTATAAATTTAATTATATAAAATTTGTAATATCGTTAAATTGTTAATATATAGTGTTAATAATAATAGCAATATATTTTAATCAAGGGTTTGTTTCATGCTTATTTTATATCTTTACAACATCTACAAGCTGTATTAAATATACAACTTTAGACAAAAAGCGAAATAATTTTTAGATAAAAGCGCGATAATATTTTAATATACGAAATTAAGAAAGAGAATTTTTACCCATCTAATTTCTAATAAAACAAAGTATGTACATAGATAAAATTGAAAGACATGAGAATGTTCTCCGTGTATCAGTATCATTCATTATATCTCATAAACGTGATTTTCTATTACGTAACCGTTAATTTTCTATGTTTCGTTCCCATAAACAAGAGGGCACATACATTCACAGCCGCGATAGCCTCTCTTTTAAATATACCTCCGCCAAACATATTTAGTTTCGAGCATCGATAAACGCGCGTTATTTCAATGGATTATACACCTCTCACTGGTCGATTTATGTTGCCGGCAGATTCCTGATTGCCGCGCAAAAGGATGCGGGCAATTGCTATTGCATAGACTTACGGCGCGACAAGCCATGGAACGTGATCGCGCAGCTCCGGACGAAGAAGCGCCTCGTCGACGTGGTACTGCACGACGACGAGGCTCATGGGAGTTTGAAAGTGCTCGTGCTCTGCGTCAAATACGAGCTGTGCTCTGCGGCGGGTCACCAGTTTCTCGTGTACGATGTTTCGTACGACGACGTGTCGCAGCAAGGTCGTTTAATTGACGAGATTATCAGCACGGTGACGCTGCCCGTGCTCTTCTGCGAGTTGTCTCATGCGCCGGGCGGTGGTTCATTGTTAATAGGCTCACCTTATCTCAAACGACAACTGTACGTGTTCAAGTTGCAGCGGGAATTCAAGGTCGTGACCTTGGTAGACGCGGTGCTCACGGGCCATCACGTGCGGCTCCCCCGCGTCTTTGCCGATCGACGTTGGATCGTCACGTGCGCCTACGACGGATTGGTCATTGTCCGCGACAGAACGATACATCAGATCGTCGCCGCGGTGCCGGCGCATCACAGACTCCATTCAGGTAGCCGGAGGGCGATCATCGATCCCGATGGTAATACTGTAGTCGCTATTGGTCAGGATGGTTCTCTGATCGCGGTGCGCGTTCATCGTAAGAGTAAAAAGGTATGTGTTAATATAACTGGCAATGATTTTTTATTCTCTTTTAATTAATTGCATTTAATTCAATTTCTCTCTTATTGTGCTATTCTTATTTATGAAATAATCTTGACAATTTTTGTTTGTAGTATAGGAGAGCGAAGCGTTATCGTCTACGATTGAGACCAAAAGTGTTTATCCAGTAAATCACGGATGGTACGAGGAGCAGAAAGAGAAGATACTATCCGATTACGCCTCTCTGGATTCGGCGATTCATGCCTCGTTGACTCGTACCAGAAAGGTTTTATCAGCAGCCGACGAAAAGAAATACGGATCCTGGGAGCAATGGCGAGAGGAGGTGCAACTGAAGAAAGAGGCAAAATTTTACGCCGCGAAGAAGGCTGCCATTATGAAGGATCTGGAGACCTTGAAAGCCACCGTAAGACAGCTTCTCGATGCCAACGAGACTTGTCCGGAAATAGAGAGACTGCCAATATCCGCGTTCGATCTAAACAAGATGGGCCGCGATCAGAAATTGAAGACGGCCAAAGACGAGCGTGAGGACATTCGTATGGAGCTCGAGCATCTCTGCGCTTCGACGAATCGTGTGGCCAACTGGATCAAGACGACTTTTTGGAACCCGCAAATCGTGCTTGGTCGCTCGATATTTTCCTTCCGCGGTGACAGAGAAGTGACGAATTATCCGCTTGTCGAGGGAGATCCATATTTCAAGGACCATTTACAATGGTCGCAGTTTGCCAGGGATACGATACGTACCATCGCGGAAGATACTTTCCAGCCATGGCGCAGTTACACGGAACATCAACTTCGAACAGAATTGAGTAAATTCGTCAAAGTGTGTCATAGAGATAAGATATGCAGAGTGATTATGCTCCTCGAAGAAGAGGAGCGCGTGATCGACCCTGAGGAGCTGGCGGAAATGCGGACGGTCGAAGGTAAGATAATGATTTTCTTTGATGAATTTTGCAGCATTATATCGATTCATCGATTTCCGACAATGTTTTCGCGACATTTATTGCAAAAAAATCAATGCTTTATACGCCTAAATTTATTAAAATTATTAAATAATTACTTTTTACTCTAATATTTTAATGCTTTTTTATATTTCTTCGCCTTACATTTTGCAGTATTTTTACTTTTTAGAGATAATAAAAAATGTGATTTTGCAAAGAGATGAAAATAAAAAATTCAAATTGAACGCAAAAGATTAAAAATTCCAATTTTGTTTTGCATGAAACTGCGAGACTTGTAATTTTCCATTTTATTCGATTAAGTCTCGCTAATCGTCTGGAACTCGTTCGCAGGCATGACGACGCATCGGTTCGTCGAGCAATCGCCTTACTATTTCACGCAGATGGAGTCTTACGGGTTCGCGCACGTGACGTTAAACGATCGTTATCTGATGCACGATTACGACAAGCTCCGTGTCTACTTCAACGAACTCTTCGACGACATGTATGCGGCGAAGGAGCGAGAAATGAGCGCAATACAGGAGAAGAACGAGAGGATACGTCATATAGACTCCGAGCTGAGGATAATGTTCGGTGAGAGCCTGCTGCGGGTTCCTGTTGATCCGCAGTGGCATCCCAAGGTAAATACGAGATACGAACACTGCTTCTATCAGGTGTCCCAGAAGCCGCGATTTTAATTGCCGGAAGAACGTGAGTCCATTTTTTTATGACTGAGTTAGAGAAATTAAAGTAAAGTCTTTCATGGGAAAATTGTACCTCTTTTATTTCAATTTTGAAAATAATGATTAAAAGCAAGCAAACTGCAATGTATTTCATATACCTATATAATAATTTTGTGAATAATTGCGTGAGAAATATTTCCTTGCAAAATTGTGCTAGCTTCAACGAATTTTTTGCGCTTTATAGGCGTCATAGAGCCAAAAATTTTACAAAATTTATAGTATATAAAGATTAAAATTTTAAATATATATATATAATCTTCCTTCTATCGTAATACAATAAAAATAACTGCTTAATTATAATTCTAAGTAACAGACCACTTATGATATGCAAATACGATATTTATTAGGAGAAAGTAGAGAGCATTATTCAAGTGCTTCGTGAAGAGGTCAAGGCAAAGCCGTATGTAACATCATCGCAGCAGGAAATTCTGGACAGGCAAGCGATGGAAGCCGAACGAATCAGACAATTATTGCTGGCCGATGATTTTCGCGAACGCGCCCTGATGAAGATGATGGACGGCGTACTGGAAATGCGTTGGGAAGAGACCATCAAAATAGATGTGCAAAAGCCCGAGTGCATGTTGGAAAAACAATCGGAGCAATATACGTCCGACGATATCAAAGCCGTAAAGAAGTACGAAGCGGACGTGGAGGCGCTTCGACAGGAACGCGAACGTTACAAAAGAATACTCGAGGCCGATTATGTCAAAATCAGCGGGCTTCGGCAAGAAGGCATCGACAAGTTTGACACTAAGCTGAACGATTTCTTTCAGGTCTCTCTCTTCCGTTGATTCTGACTTTTAATTATCGGTTCATCAATGATCGTGAATTGATTTTCTTTTTTACAATACATAATTTTATATCGATTGAACATGTCGCATTCTTTCGAATAATCTTGTCGTTTGCTTTATAGTTGAAGTTAAAAATCGAAGCGGCGATGAATCAACTGAAGCTGCGACACATTCGCGGTCGTATACGAAGCCTGTCGCGGATCGAGGCTATACGAGAAGATGACAAGGTAAAACGAGAGATATCCGAGAAATCTCATTACGAGGCCGTGCTGGAGAAACACGTGCGGAAGCTGCATGACATCTATCAGGATTTTCTCACGCAACACGACGCACTCTGTACTCGTGAGAAAGCTATGGCGAAGAAGTTACAGTACGAATTCGCTGCACTGTCAAAGGTCAACATGGAGCTTCTCGAACTACAGTATAAACGGAGGCCGAAGGTGTCTTTGAAGAACGTTGTTGCCAGCGATCTGCTCACTCTCGCGCAACACCTTATAGATCACACTAAACCGGCTTATTTACCGACTGATTGCGCGGATTACTTGAAGATCCTCGAGAATCTCGACGCGAGACCCGAGGGACTGCCGCAGTCGATCGATGATAATCATTGGAATCACTTTACTCAATCGCGTCGCCAGAAGATCAACGTGGAACTGAAGATCAAAGCTCAACAGCTGGAGATAACCCTGGTGGAGCAGACGATTGCAGTATTCGAGCACAAGATCGACGCTTGCAAATCGAGCGCGGACTTCCTCAGGGATCGGTTGAAGAGAACGAGGGACGAGCGGGTGTTGCACGAGCAGGATACCGAGGTGCAACTGGTACTCAAGAGGGGTCAGGTGGAGCTGGAACTACAGGGTGAACGACGCGATACCGCGGATGCTATTTTGATGCCGCGTAACGAGATCGAGAGAGTTAACGAGCACATTATCGCCGCGGGAGCGCGCAAGCTGGATGTCTTGAAGCGCACGATCGACTTTCGCCATGGAATATTGTCGCTCGAATGGGAACATCGTTGCCTGAGAACGCGCTTCAAGGAACTGGAGGAGGATATGCACTTTCTGAAGGATGTCACGGTCACTCGAGATATGCGAATGTATCTGAAGAGGAAGGCGAAGGGACTGCGCGATGATAAAACTGCGGTGCGTCTCGAGAAGGAACTCAGGATCGCGAAAAAATCTTTGGACAAAGCATTGTCCAAAGAGATGAATAAGCTGGAAAATCTCCGACAGAAGATCACTTGCGTAAAGAAGAAGAACGCCGAACTTGACCGAACTATCACGGAGATGAATGTGGCGAGATGGGAATTGGAGTATCAACGTGATATCGATGGAGAAACAAGACAATGCCAGCATATGGATCGGAAG